ACCCAGTTTGAGAATAGAACTAGACAGAAGGCTGCCAATCATCAGTGAGTAATTGGTCATTAATAACCAACCATACTAGATCCGAAGTTTCATTATAATGGGGTTTATTATCACCAAATTCTGCTAATTATTTCATGTCACATTGGCTTTCATTGTAGCTATTAAAACACCTACTTTAATTGCTTCTTTGTAGGTTATCTGTCTTTTTTTCCCTCTTGCCTGCTTTAAAGATCTCTTTTTTCTTTGGTGTTTTGCCATATATGACAGCTCTAGGAATATATTTAAAAATTTATCCTCTTTGTGATGCACTCTGCTTCTTGAACTTACACATTTGTATCTTTCCTAAATTCTGGAAAATTCTAAGAAATTAACTTTTTAAATATTGCTTCTCAAGTTTTCAAATCTATCCTTCTTGAAATCTGATTTTTGAGATGTCAGATCTTTTCAGTAGAACATCTGTACTGTTTAACCATTCCATGTTCATCCTGAATAATTTTCTCAGATATGTTATAGTTTACTAATTATCTGTTTCTAATCTGCCATTTGACCTACTCATTGAGTATTTTCATTTCAACGAACATGTGTTTAATATCTAAAAGCTTCATTTGATTATTTGTCACATTTGCCTGGTCATTCCTGATGGTCTCTTGTTGATGGCTCATTGTTGTGATTCTGTTCCTTCTGTTTCTTTCTAAATAGATTTTTTATATTTTGCAGCTGATAAAATTTTAATATCTGAATTACTTGGAGGTCTAAATATTTGTTATATCTTCTAATTTTACACTCATGTTGAGTAGCTTCCTTTATGTCTGGTGATTTTTGATGGTGAACTCACATTTTCTTAATCTTAACCTGGAAATCTGGTGGGGTCAACTAGGAAATTTTTCTTGAAGATCTGTGTTGGAATCTGGTAGAACTGTTGGGGTGCTACCAGTCCACTCTTAGCCTCTTTCAGTTTTTAGCTTAGCACAGAGGTCTCAAATTTAGCTCTTCCATATTGCTGTTGATGTAAGCCTTGTTTTCTGAATTCAATTCCCTGGGCATTTTCCCATCTTAACCTTTGTATTCTTTTTTATTTATTATTATTTTTTTTGAGACAGAGTCTCACTCTGTCATCCAGGCAGGAGTGCCGTGGCATGATCTTGGCTCCCTGCAACCTCCATCTCCTGGGTTCAAGCAATTCTCCTGCCTCAGCCTCCCAAGTAGCTGGGACTACAGGCACCCACTACCATGCCTGGCTAATTTTTGTATTTTTAGTAGGTGGGGTTTCACTGTATTTGCTAAGCTGTTCTTGAACTCCTGACTTTGTCATCTGCCTACCTCAGCCTACCAAAGTGCTGGGATTACAGGTGTGAGCCACTGTGCCCGGCCTCTCTTTATTCTTAATTGCTTACTATCACAGGGTTTCATTTATTTGTGAGGCAGTGATCTGGAGAGTGAGATGTCAGCAGGACACATGGAAATTTCTCATACTTCCTTCAAGTTCAGTAATGCATAGATAAGTTTTCATTGTGTTTTGTTTTGTTTTTTAGAATCTGGTTGTTGTACAGCGGAAGGGTGTTGCAGATCATCTAGCTCAGAATTTTGTTGAAGGAGAAAATTTCTTTTAACTTACTTTTTTTAAAAAAAGAGATGTAATTTTTTAGATGTTTTACATTTGCACAAAAACTGAGACTATTGTAGAGAGAGTTCCCGTATACCCTGCCCATAGTTTTTTCCTATTATTAAGATCTTACATTAATATGGTTAAATTGTTACAATTAGTAGGCCATTACTAATACATTATTATTAACAGAAGTCTGTAGTTTATTCAGATTTCCTTGTTTTTTACCTAATGTCTTTTCCTATTCTAGGGTTTGGTCCAGTATATCACTGATGTGGTTAGGCTTTGTGTTCCCACCCAAACCTCATCTTGAATTGTAATCCCCATAATCCCTATGTGTTGAGGGAGATACCTGGTGGGAGGCAATTGGATCATGGGAGTGGTGTCCTTCATGCTGTTCTCATGATAGTGAGTGAGCTCTCATGAGATCTGATAGTTCTATAAGTACCATTTCCTCTTTCACATGCTCACTCACTCTCCTGCTGAAATGTAAGACATGCCTGCTTCCCCTTCTGCAATGATTGTAAGTTTCCTGGGGACTCCCCAGCCATGCAAAACTTTGAGTCAATTAAACCTCTTACCCTTATAAATTACCCAGTCTTGGCTTTTTCTTTATAGCAGTGTGAGAACAGACCAATATAATCACTTTACAAAGTTGTCACGTCTCTTTAAGCTCCTCTTGGCTGTGACAGTTTCACAGCCTTGTTTTGGATAGTCTTGACAATTTTGAGGAGTGCTGGTTGGATATTTTGTAGGATATCCTCCTATTGGAAATTTTTATTGTAAAATACACATAAAATTTACCATGCCAACCATGTTTTAACACACAATTTTGTAGCCTTAAGTGTAACATATTCACAAGTTGTGCAATGATTTTATTATCACTATGCATTCTCAGAACTTTCGCATCACGTCAAACAGAAACTCTGTATTCATGAAAAAATAACTCCCTATTTTCCTCTCTCCCTAGTCCCTGGTAAACTCTGTTTTCTGTCTCTATAAATTAACCATTTGTAGGCACATTATACAAGTGGAATTATACAATATTTGTCCTTTTGTGTCTGGCTTATTTCACTTAGCAAAATGTTTTCATGTAGTAGCATGTCTTAGAATTTCATTCCTTTTTTTTTTGGTTAAGGCTGAATACTATTGTATTGTCCATTCTATATATACACAACTTTTGTTTGTTATCATTTTAGTTACAGGAGAATTTTATTTCTTCTTTTGGATTTTCCATTTTTAAATTTTCTTTATAGACATTCACATCATCTATACATAAAGGTTGTTTGTTTCTTCATTCCTTATCTGTATACTCTGTTTCCTTCTGTTGTCTTATTTCACCAGCTAGAACTTCAGGTGTAATGTTAAATAATAATGATGATAAAGGAAATGTTTGTGTTGTTCCCGATCTTAGGGAGAAAACATCTGGTTTCTCACCATTAAGCTGTAGACATTTTGTGGATGTTCTTTATTAAGTTGAGGGTACTTCCCACTAGTCCTAGTATTTTGAGAGTTGGTACATTCAAGGGTGTTGGATTTTGTCAAATGCTTTTGCTGCATGAATTTACATGGATCCTATAATTTTTCTTTTTTAACCTCTTAATGTGCTGGGTTCATTCATTGATTTTAGAATATTGAACCATCCTTGTATACTGAGAATAAATTACACTTCCTTGTGTTGCATAATTCTGTTTAGACATTGTTGGATTATATTGGCTAAAATTTTGTTAAGGGTTAAAAAAATCTGTATTCATAAGGGATTCCAGTCTGTAGTTTTCCTACAATGTCTTTAACTGCTCTTAATATTAGGGTAATGCTAGATTCATAGAATGAATTGGGAAGTGTTCCTTCTGCTTCTATTTTCCAAAAAAAGATTATGTAGAATTGGTATTTCTTCCTTAAATGTATATTAAAATTTACCAGAGAAACCATCTGGGACTGGCATTTTCTTTCTTGGAAGTTTATTGACTCAATGTCCTTGCCTACTCAGATTATCTATTTCTCCTTGCATGAGTTTTGGTAGTTTGTATCTTTCAAGTAATTGCTCCATTTCATCTACTTTATTAAATTTTGGGGCATAGAGTTCATAGTAGTCCTTGATTATCCTTTTAATTTTCCTGGGACAATTAATGATGACTTATATCCCATTTCTAACATTGGTACTATATTGCTTATATTTTTAAAATTTCTGTATATTATGATGTTTGACATCTTTAAAAAAAATCTTTTCTGGCTTGGGAGAAACTACACCCTCCTGAGGCAAGCCAATTTGTAGCTAAGCAAAAGGACTTACCCAGGGAGCGTGGCTATAATGTGTACTATTCATTGGCTTTCAGTGTATTCACAGAATTTTACACCATCAACAAAATCAATTTTAAATTTTTTTCACTAGCACCCCCAAACCCTGAAACTCCTTAGCCAATCCTCCATCATTTACCAAGCCTAGACAACTACTAATCTACTTCTGTCTCTTTAGATTTGCCTTTTCTGGGCATTTTCCCATAATATGCAGTTATGCTGAAATAGAATCCTATAGTATGTGATCTTTTATGAATGATATTAGATAATAGTTGGTCTTTTGTGAATGGCTTCTTTCATTTAGCATAATAAATTCAAGGTTCATCCATATTGCTGTATATATATGCTTCATTCTTTTTTGTTTCTGAATGATATTCCGTTGTATGAACATACCAGTTTTTATTCAACCACTAATCAGTTTATGACCATTATGGGTTTGTTTTGTATTTTGGCTATTATGAATAATCCTGCTATAAATATTTGTATGTTTACTTTTCATGTGCATTATGTTTTCATTTTGCTTGCATGTATACTTAGTGGTGGTTGCTGGATTATGTTGTAACTCTGTGTATAAACTGTTGAAGAATGGCTAGACCATTTTTCACAGGGGCTGCACAATTTTCACATTCCTGCTAAGAGTTTATGAGCGTACAAGTTTTTCTACATCCTTCTCTACACTTGTTATTGTCCATCTTTTTATTTATTTATGTATTTATTTCAGATGGAATCTCCCTCTGTTGCCCAGGCTGGAGTGCAGTGGTGTGATTGCTGCCCACTGCAACACCTACCTTGTGGGTTCAAGTGATTCTCCTGCCTCAGGCTCCTGAGTAGCTGGAATTACAGGCATGTGCCACCGTGCCCGGCTAATTTTTTGTATTTTTAGTAGAGACTGGGTTTTGCCATGATGGTCAGCCTGGTCTCAAACCCCTGACCTCAGGTGATCCACTTGCCTTTGCCTCCCAAAGTGTTGGATTACAGGTGTGCCACTGCACCTGGCTGTCCATCCTTTTGGATGGCCATTTTAGTGGGTGTCAAGTGGGATTTAATTTTGGTTTTAATTTTCATTTCCTTGAAGACTAACAAGATTGAGTATCTTTTCATTTTCTTTTTGGCTATTTCTATATGTTCTTTGGAGAAATCCCTATTTAAGATTCTTTGCCCATTTTTCACATGGGTTGTCTATTTTATTTATTTATTTTTTTGAGACAAGGTCTCACTCTGTCACCCAGGCTTGTGTGCAGTGGCGTGACCATGGCTTTCTATGTAGCCTTGATCTCCCAGGCTCAAGCTATCCTCCCATCTCAGTCTCCTGAGTAGTTGGGACTACAGGCATGTACCACTAGACCCAGCTAATTTTTATTTATCTATTTCTCTCTCTCTCTCTCTCTTTTTTTTTTTTTTTTTTTTTTTTTTTGTAGAGATGGGGTCTCGCTCTGTTACCTTGACTGGTCTGGAACTTCTGGGCTCAAGTGATCCTTCTGCCTTAGCCTCCAAAGTGGTGAGATTATAGGCATCAGCCACTGCACCCACCTGTTTTTGAATTTTAATAGTTCTTTATATAGTCTAGACACAAGTTATTTATCAGATATATAATTTGCAAGAATTTCCCCTTTTCCTGTAATTTGTCTTTTTACTTTATGGTATTTTATGAAACAAAAGGTTTTTAGTTTTGATAATGTCTAGTTTATCTATTTTTCTTTTCTTTTTTTTCTCAGTAATGCTTTTGGTTGTCATAGCTAAGAATCCATCAAAAATTCTTAGAATTGTAACTCAAGGTCATAAAGATTTAAACCAACAGTTTCTTTGAAGAGCTTTAGAGTTTTAGCTCCTAAGTTTAGGTATTTGATCCATTTTAATTTTTGTATATGATGTGAGGTAAGGATCTAGCTGCATTCTTTTGCACTAGGATATCCAGTTGTCTCCACATCTGCTGAAGATGATTCTTTTCCCATTGAATGGTCTTGCACCCTTGCTAACGATCAGTTGACCATACACACATGAAGGTTTATTTCTGGATGTCCATTTTATTCCAAAACAATTGGAATTATTAACTGCTTTTGTGTTTCAGGCATGATCCTAAGCACGAATTCATTTGTTTCTCACAATAACTGTGAAGTGGGCATTATTCTCATTCCCATTTGACAGATGAAGTGGCCAAGATACCGAGTGTTTTGCCCAAGGCCACATAAGTAACTACTAAGTGGCAGTGCCAGTGTAAGAATTTAGGTTGACTAACTTGAGAGCCTGAGATCTTAGCCATGCATGCTGTAAACAAAAGTTAGAAATCAGAACTTCAGAATTCCACTGAAGTGTTCACTTTAAGCAAATGGAGTGAAGGGCAGATTAGCGACTGTTTGTAAAGCAAAACAGGGAGGGTCTTCCTCACCAGCTTGCTTTCTGTGGAGTAGCGGCAATGAACCTGCCTTTTTTGGCTGAAACTCCTACAATCCACCCCCCTTCCCAAGCTGATAATTTGCACTGGCTGTAAGTCGAATTTGCACTTAATTGCTGGGGCAGTGCTGAGTGGTGAGAGCAAGGGTCAGGCCCACTGCAAGGGCCTCGCACCGCTTTCCGCACAGAACCTGGGAGTGGGAAGGTGTCGGCGCCAGGGCGGGAGGTTGCCCAAGATGTGGAAACTCTCATGGGAAGATGCCTCGTTGCCTCGGTAACCACGTCGCAGTTGCTGAAGATGGCAGGGTGAGGTCTTGGTTTCATGGTCAGTTCAGCTCCAGGCACCTGGGGAGTGTCTGGGCTCTGGCGACTAGGATGCCTAACCTCCTTTATCTTCGGGTCTGAAACTCTCTGCCTCTTTTACAGAGAAGCAGCGTTCCAGGGACTCTGCTCCTGCCACCAGTTCAGCAACCCTCTGCACCTGGACCCAGTCTCCTCGCTTTGGAGGAAGAATGTAAGTAAGAAATTCAGCAGTTGAGCCTTCTTTCCTTCTTTCATCTAAATGAGGCTGCTTACAAGTACTTTTTCTGAAGACTGGCTGGATCTTCAGGACCACTCACTCTGCAGCATTCCCTTCTTGTCATCTCGTTCACTCGCCATTTATTCTTTCTCTTTCACCTGAGTAGTTAGCCTGCGTCTTAGAAAATATTTGAAGTGGGTGAAAATTTAGCCCAAGTAAACAGCAATATGCTTTTGGAAGTTATTTGAGCAGCAGGAATTGCCACGAACAGTTCAGTTTCTAGTTTAGGTTATTTCACTTAGTAGCAAGTTTATAGAGTTGACCTTATGTAAATTTCCTTTACATTGGTTTCTAAATTGAAAGCATGCTTCCCAGTGCAATCAGAATTATCTTTCTCCTTCAAATTTTCCTTACCTGGTCTCAGTGTAATTACAAGTATCTTGACAAACTTTCATTCTTGGCCCATTCCGCTCATCCCAAAGTTTTCACTCAGCAGCCAATGTAATCTTTTAATTTGATCGTGTAATTCCTTTGCTTAAAACTCTACAGTGATTTCCTGTTGCACTTTAAAAGCTCCTCCTGCCCCTTTTTACTTAGTCTTATTCGCACTCCCCCTTCCCCACCTAAACTCTCCAGCTTAACTGGCCCTTTAGTCTGAAAACTTTCAGGTTTTTTTCTACCTCGGGAAAAAGACAATTCACACACGCCTTCAACCTGTATTGTGTGTAGCTTTCCTTGACCATGCTAAGTAGGCTCCTTTTTGGTCTTTTTCATCGTCTTACCGATTTTTCTTTCTAGTTAGCATAATTTGTTACAATAAATTCATTTGTTAGTTTCCTTTTTGTCTGTCTTTTCCACTGGACTGTAAGTTTCAAGGGCAGAGACCAGGTCTGTTTTATTTGCCATTGCGCGTACCCTTATAAAAAAAGTGTCTTTTAACATCTCCCTTTCTTTTTAATTTAATATAAAATAACTAGTTTAAAATTTGGAGATAGTTGGGAGTTTACATCAGAGGGTTAAACTAGAGTTACTGTATGATCCACCTATGATGTATATTTAAAATTAAAGCATATTTGAAATTAAAACTGAAGAGTACTATGTTTAGATGAACCATACACCAATTTACCACAGCAAGTAGGAAGATAATCATATCTTCTTCTCTCTGATCAAATGGGCCTATTATCTCAGTTCACAAGTGTACTTAAGCAACTTAATCTGTTGTCTATATATACTTATTAGCTGTGTGTGAATCAAAACAGTTTTCATATTATTATACATACAGTATTAAATACCTGGATTAGGTTTGTCAGTTATTTGAGAGTATTTTGCACCTGGTTCTGGTGCATTGTTAGGGATATAGTCCTGCTTAAAATAAGTAATAGACAGGGACTATTATTCTAGCATGAGTTGTTTTATAAAGCGAGATAGCTAAACAGTATTACATGGTTTCCAGTTGTTACTTGTTCTGTTGTCTGTACTCTGAGTTGTGCACATGGGAAGCATATGAAGGGAGTAACTCTCTACACTACCTGAATCTTCCAGAGTACTTCTGTGTCAGGGAGAAGTGTAAAATGTCTGGCCATCTCTATAAGCAAAAATATGAGATTATAACAGTATGGTATCTATTTTGCCACCTGTTGTCTTGGCATGAGTCTTTAGAATGCTACTTCCCAGGAAACTGAATCCAAAACCTTTTGCAATTCTGCTCCCGTTGGAGGAAAAATCGCTATTTGAGAGGATAGACTAAGGAAGATGCCAATCACTCAAGTGGATAGATTTCTCAAGCTTCATTCCTGTATTATAATACCAATAGCTAAACAATAAGATTACATGACAACTGGTAGGGTAAGCCCCCTCATAAATCCCAGTTACATTGGATTTACAGATTAATTTGCAGATAACGGACTTATTTATGCTATTGAATCTTCAATGAATAAGATACTTCTACATTTACAGGGTTTTTTACTTAACGTTTAATAGTGTTTTGTTTTACTACATAAAATTCTTGCCTATATAATTTGCTTCAAGATGCTGAATAGTTTTTGTTTCTATATAATAAGTAGACTTTATTATATTTTCTAATTGGTTATAAATGTAGGATTTTTAGATGTTGGAGCTACACCTATATTTACATACACACATAGATCTTCAGTCCTGCTGGACTGTCTTATTCATTCTATGAAGTCCCTTGGATATTTGCTGAAGACATTTATATGCAAATTTTCTCTCGATAATTCTCCTGCATTCTCTCTTTTTCTCTGTTTAGGACTTCCCATGTGATATGGAATAGAAAAAAGTGATGGTGAGCTTCCTTACCTTGTTTATGATTTTGAGAAGCCCACTTTTAATAATCACTGCATTTGAAGTTTGCTCTAGGGTTTTGGTAGATTCTTTTTTTATGTTTAAAATTCTTCCCCTTAATTCCTAATTTGAATGAGTGTTTAATATATCAAAACTTCTTTTTTCCCCAATTAATTCAGGTGGTGATATGTTCTTTTTCCCTCCTTTAATGCTTTAACATACTGAACTGCAAGGGCAGCTTTCTTGTTTTCCTTTAAAGACTGCTAGATTTGATTGGTATAATTTTTTATGTAGGTTTTTGCATCTATGAACAAAAGTGAAATGGTTGTTATACTTTTTATTTTTTGTCCTCTCTGTTTTTGATATCAGTATTATTCTGGCTGGATGAAATAAGCCAAATAGTTTTCTTGTTTTGTTTCTTTTCTTGGAAGCTTTTTATAATTAGAGAGATTTTTTGCCCTTTGATTAAAATTGTGAAACTCTGTCAGTCTAGTGTTCTTTTGTCAAGGAGACTCTTTTTGTCTATGAATTTAGATTCTTTAATAATTATCTATTTAGATGTTCTATGTCTAAAATAATTTTTGGTTCTAGAAAAGTGTGCATGTATGTTTTAAAATATATTAGCATAAACTGACTCTATGGTTGTATGTTTGAAATCTTGACTGTATCTACAGCCATGTACACCCCTCCTTTTGGTAGCTTTCCAATATTGTTTATTTTTGTCTTTTTCTATCAAAGTTCCTGGGATATTTATCTGTTTTATTGATCTTTTCAGAGAACCAGCTTGGTTTTCTTGGTAATCTGTGCTATTGGAAAATTTCATTAACCTTTATAGAAATAAAGAAAGACAGATGATCTAACTGGGGTGGATTATTATTATTTTTTTTAGTTTCTTGACTTCATTTATTGTTTTCTTATTTTTTAATAAATATACTTAAAGCTTTAAATTTCTCTCCAATTTATTCCA